TCTATAAGATACAAAATAAATTTAAAATATTATTTGAAAATTATAGGCAGATTAATATCCCCAAAGGAACCTCAAAGCTGTTGCTAACATGCCGACAAAGTTATTTAATTTATGCAAATGAAGAGTAACAGATGGGGGAGGGGACAAATACAGACAAGTCAAATAAAAACAAATTGTTAAATGGTAGATTTAAATCCAAGTACCCCAATCATCACATCAAATACAAATGATTCATTCTCCCTAACTAAAAACCTGGGATGACCAGACTGAAGAAAAAAAAATGTAATACTAGGTATATGGGACATCTAAGAACCCCCCTTAAAATACCAAGACAAAAACTTTTAAGTAGAGGATGGGAAAAGATATTCTTGCTAATACCAACCAAAAGAAAGCTGGAAGTCCTGGGCTGTAGATCAGTGATAGTTTGCCTAAATGCTTAAGATGCTAAATTTAATACTGAAGAAAAAAATGAAAAATAGGGATAGAGGGATGGAGGAGGAAGAGAATGAGCAAGCTAGCTGTAGTGGCTATGTTAACAACAGATAAAGCAGAAAACAGGGCAGATATTATAAGAGGAAAAAAGAACACTGTGTCATAATGAGAATGGAGTTAACTTATCAGATGCAATAACCCTAAATGTTTATTCATCTACAGATAGTACTTCAAAATACAAAGCAAAAAAAGAGACACAACTCTAAAAATAAAGAGAAAAATACACAGAGATTTCAATACTCTTAAAAACACAGTAATTGGTAGCACCAAGACCACTGGAAAACACAGATATTTACATTATAATTCATAAATTACAGTTATGAAGTATCAACGAAAATAATTTCATGGGTGTCACCACAACATAATATGGATATGTGCTCAAGGATTTCTGGAGCCTCATTGATGTATCTAACCTTGTAACATTCTATCCTTCTCTTAACATCCTAACAATATGGTCTCCTACAAAGTACACCCTTCCTATAGACCAAGGGTTCTCAACCTTCCTAATGCTATGACCCTTTAATTCAGCTCCTTATGTTGTGACCCCTGGGTCAAGACCTACAGGTTGAGAACCACTGCTATTGACGACACAAATTTACAAAAGAGGATTGGCTATTTCTTACTAGGTCAGGTTTTTGTCCCAGTGCAGAGATCTTGGATTGGGACAAAAGGTATGACTTTTCCATAGATATCTGTTTTGGAGAGCAACTGTCCTAGTGGTACTGCCATAGGATCTTTACGTTAGGGAACACTGACTTTCTCACTCATGGTAAGCTTGTAGCCCCATCTATACTTCCTGCCTGGCTACTGGCCAATCAGTGTTTTATTCATCAACCAATAAGGGAAATAAAATACAGAAAGACATCCCCTATCATTTTTGTAATACCGACACTCAAGAGTGATATTAAGGCAGTAGGACCAGTCCAACTTTAAGGTAAGCCTGTTCTACCTAGTGAGTTCTAGGCCAACCTGGGCTATAGAGTAAAACCTATCTCAAAAAATAATGATAAATCAATTCCAAGCTTTGTTCATGTCTATCTAGATGTCCCCATTCCAAGTTTCAGATCTCCACTCTTTTTAGTCAATTACATGTAACACTAAAAAGACCATGTGATTCTATTAATAACACAATAAAAAAAAAATGGGGCCAGTTTTCAGCAAGGTTGACTATGGGACACAGAACAAAGGGTTTCAAGCCCCCAGAAACTTTGATTCCCTAAGAGTGGGTGTGAGAGTTTCAAGTTTGTTTTCTTCCTATAAATACTCCATCAAACTCAGGACCAGCCATCACATCATAGCATCAGTATACCGTCACAGTCCTCAGAATCACAACTACTGCTATTGACAGTCAAGTACTATACAGACTTGCTCCCCCAAGGCACCTAATTCAGAAACCACAGGCATCTTTATTTAAGTTAATTCCAATGCCATTACATGCAATGGGTTACTGGGATCCCATTTCTCATTAGCAAGGAGCTGATATTCCAACAACAAACAGGTATCCAGGTTATGATCAACCCAACTCTCTACCTTTGATAGGATTTTGCCCAAGAATCCTCTTCTGGGTAATATTTTATTAGCCATGTCAAGTCAGGAGATCAAAATCACACAAACAACTGAACAGAAAGAAATAAATGTATTAAAAACTATTAACCAGCACTGGAGATGCAACTTAGTGGTAGGGTACTTGCCTACAGTGGGAGACCCTGCCACCAGATATTATCCCTAAGACAAGGTAACAGAAGAAAGAAAAATTTGGAGTTAGGACACTATGGAGCTGCAACTCCAGTTGCAAAGAAATGAGGCTGACATAGGAGAGTTGAAACTATAACCTTGGACCAGAAACTATAACCTTGGACCAGAGCCACTGCCAGAATGAAGCACTGTTGCTACAGAAGTCATACAGGAAAAGGAAGCAAACAAAAACAATGTGTCCCTTAGTCCTGTCTAGACTTGCAGTATGTATCCTTTCTTAGGGAAGCATTATCAGTAGACAGCTAGCAAAGGAGAAATGTGGCTTAGAGTTGTGTCCCAGATTCACTAGCAGAGTAAACAGGAGCACTGTAAGGCTGACAGCCAATCCCTTACTAAACTGTGGTGCAGAGCAGGCAGGGAATCGCTGCCAAGTCTGAGTCCTGGATTATTCCTGTAAAGGATTTGAGAGTACCTGACTGATGCTGTGGGGGCTCACAGAAGCCACCATAGAGGCTAATGACATATACTTCCTGCAGTGTGATTCTTTCTGTCTATTGTTGTTGGGATCTAATAATCAGACATTCCTCTCCTGTCTGCATGCTCACCAGCACAGGTGACACAGCACCGTGGGAGAAGCAATAGGTAAGATACCCGCTGTAAGGGGTAAGAACCATGACTTCAAAACAGATAACCAATGAAGATCAAACTGCAGCTATTACCAAAACAAGGATGAAAAGTATAGCACTTGACAGTTTACCTTTGTTGCCTTGGCTGGATATTAGAAAGATGTTTGTAAGATTAAACAAGTTATCATCATTTCTAGTAGATACATCTGGCTTTGCTTTAGTTTGCAAAGAACATACAAAAAGCTTATTTATAGAGGTAAGGCTAAGCCAAGTGGGAAGAATGGTTGGTTAGGTTGGCCCTGACTGGTTGGGTCCAAATCAGGATGGAGGTGACTGGCACTTAAATTACAAGGGCTTACAACCTCAGCAGTGCTCAGCCCAGACAGAAACAATACATCAATAGAAACTTGCAACACTTGTAAAACTCATACTGACAAGAGGTAGTAAAACAATCATTATATATAACCTGTGTTTGTCTGACTCCAAAGTATCTGTCTTTTAATCAACACACACACACACACACACACACACACACACACACACACACACACCGGAAGGGGGGGCGCCCACGCTCCTGGCTTCCCTTTACCTTAGGATGCCAGATGCTAGCATTATGTGCAATATGAATTCCACCCATTTCCCCAACACTAAAGATAGAAGTTTGAGATAGAACTTAGTGGCCTGTTTAGCAACACATATAATGTAATTATCAAGTAGATACCAATTTTCCTTATAGAGGAAAAATTATGTTGAATAGAGTAACACCAATATTGTAGTTCTTTAAAAATTGTGTATTTTGACTACCTTTTTCACTTGGGAAACACCTTCCTAATTCCAACTACAAACTTCCCTAAGTAATGACAGCAATTAGAACCTGAAAGGTTGCAGGTGGTTGTGGCCCTCGCCTTTAATCCCAGTACTTGGGAGAAACCCCTATCTCAAAAAAAAAAAAAAAAACAAAAACAAACAAACAAAAAAAAACAAAGAACCTGTAAGGTTAATAATAAATATCACTCTGTGTTACGGGCATAGTGGCACAGTCCTATAATCTCAGCACTTGGGAGGACTGCATGCATATGCTACAGTGAAACCACCCATCTTAAAGAGAATAAACAACTTGTGTAAGACTGGGCTTCATCTTATCCTGCTCAAATCATGGGGATTTTATGCGGGGCCATGGCGGGACGTGTCAGTTGGAAATGTTACACTTTCCTTCTTTCCCAAAGGTGGCATCTATTCTCAGAAACTAACAGGGACCCGTGCCTGTCTTTAAAGTAATGATGAATATGTAGTCAAGTGGTATTTTTGAGCATGATTTACAAAGCCCGCTTCAGTTCCAATCCTGTCTGCTTCGGCTCATATGGTGTTTTCTGAGATGCATTCCCTTTCTCCGTTTCTTTTTTCTTCAAAATACTCGTTCTCCAACTGTAGCTCATGTCTCTTCTGTAAGGTCCTCTTCGAGCCCTTGGCTCTTGTTCACTGTTCAACACATTTGGACCCACCATCTTTTTAAGGGGCTACGAAGCCTACAGCCTAGAACAACCGCTGTCGACTAGCTAGTCCGATGGTTTCAACTAGCTGTGTTTATAAGGCTAGCCTAAACAGGATACAGCCACATCCTCTCAAGAGAAATACCGGAGACTCTTTACCTTGAAATAATTGCTCCGGGGTTATGTAACTACAAATACTTCCAACCCCCAGAATAACTTATTCCTAAAATCTCGCTGCTCTCAAAAAAAATTTTTTTTTTAAAAAAAAGAGCTATCAACTAAAGATCACTTAAAAAAAAGGGGGGGGGGACTGTTTTCAAGAAGTCATTCAATTACCAAACGGTAGCTACAGAATTCGGGTAAAAGTTCCTCAGAAAGATCTGAAACCAAGCGAGGGTCAGTTCACGTCAGTAACACAAGTCAAGCTCCGTCGCGACCAGTCTGCGCCCCGTGGGGCGGGTGACCGACCGGTCCTCACTGGGCACGGAGTAGGCCCCGGCCGGGGACAAAGCCTTCGGGACCCGCACTCTGACCCCGCACCAGGACCAAGCTCTCCCGGACGGTCCCACCCCACAGGTGCTGCAGCCGGGCCGAGTGCGAGCGGTAGCGGTACCCGCTCTGCCGGAGCCACCCGAACACGGACCCCACACCCGGCCAGCGGTCCCTTGGCTCCTCGCTCCCAGTCTTGGACACTCACCATCCTAGTACCAGGCCGGTGGTGACGATGAAGCAGGTGAAAACCACCGCGATGTAGAAGAGCGGCGAGTATTCGTAGAGCGTTACCAGGAACACTGCGGCCATCAGGGTCTCCTGGGCTCAGACCGCCCCAGCCCGGCCGGCCGGGAGCAGACCCGGTATGGCGCCCCGGAGCGGACAAACTTTGTAGGTCCTCACTCGCCCAGGCTTCTGGAGAACTGGAAACCACGGCCACCGGAACCAGGATGCCAATCACAAGGTTGATAGCAGGCACGCCACGCCCCTCTCGCTCCCGTCCCTACTATTGGCTACATGGAGGGGAGGGGCCGGCTCCGCCCCGCCCAACCCAGCGCCCGGGATTGGTGAACCTGCAAGATCTCCGCCAGCCCGGCCCAGTTCGCAAATTCCAAACAGCAATTTGGGGTCAAACACCGACTAAAACTTCAGCTGATGCAGATTCTCAGATGCTCGAGGAATCCTGAAACCCTGCAAACCCTAGGCAAATTTGGAAAGAGGAGGAAGACCAGCATCGGAGGGGTGAGGGTGGGGTGTTCTACAAAGTGAACTAAACTTAACCCTGTTCTTGTTTGATCTCGATTTACAAAGTCACAGAAAACCAGAAAAGTGGTCTCTACCTCGAGCGATTTATTGAAACCTTGTCAGCCTTTTCAAAGTAAGTTTAATCAAAGCTCAATTCGGCAGTAAGCATTCAAGATTCTCTTAGAAACAAAGCGGTTGTTCTCCAACAGCCCACTTTTGCTCCTCAAATTAGAATTAGCCAGACCTTTGAGGGCATTTAATAACTAATTTTTATTTGTTTGTTTATTAGAATATTTTAAGTTCAGGAAGTAGCTGAGTGTCTGCTCCCTTTCCTCACCCTTGTCAGTGCCTCACAGTAGTCTCCTGGAAAGTCTCTTATAAAACCTCATTTCTCTCTTACTAAACCCTCAAGCCCTAGTTACAACACAGGTGGAAGAAACAACTCCCACCACAAATTCTGTTAGGAGAAAGCAAGGGAGGATGGGCATTAAGAGCATAATTAAAGGTCCCTGCCATACTCCTAAGTCACGGGGAAATTTATGCTTTTCTCTAATGGCCTTGACCAAATAACCATGTATTTTCTAGAGACAAGCTATTTGAGAAGCTTGTCTCTATATAACTTTTCGTTAGTAGATATTGACTTATAAAGGTTATATTTATTTAATCTGTGCTCGGTTGTTGGAAATGTCTTCACTTCTATACCAAGCACTACAGTGAACATCCATAAAGCTAACTGTATCAGGTAGGACTTTTTAAAATGTGTGCTTTAAAATTTTTCAGGACTAGAGTCTAGACATGGTTTGTCAAATATTCAAACACACCATTCCAACTATAGCTTTAACAAAATTCTTGGCCAATCTGAAGGCAGCTTTATTACAATAAAAAAGAAATGATTATTCCAAAATGAAAATGTAGGAAGTTTCGGGTTAAGTTAAACATTAAACACAGAGATAGGAATTTTCTCCTGCTCAAACTCTATTGAAACTTAAAGGGATTTAAGGTGTAAGTGAGAGCCAGCAAGATGGCTAAAGGCACTTGCCACCATGCATGATGGCCTGATTTGGTTCCCCCGAAACCACATGGTAGGAGAGTACAGTAGGGAAAAGAGGAGGAGGATGACAGTGACACTGTCTTTTGGATTAAAGGTGTCCCTCCAAAAGACAGTGTTAAATGATTGATCCCTGCTGGTGGATCTAATCATTAAAGATGACCACACTGGCTGGGCTTCGTAGTGCACACTTAGAATTGTGACACATAGGAAGGAGCATTAGGGAGAATTTCTGTGATTCCTACACATTAAATTCCAGGCCAGCCAGAACTGCAAAGGAAAAAAAATCACTATGATGGTCGATGCTTTTAGTCCCAGCACTCAGGGAAGCAGAGGCAGGTTGATCTCTGTGAGTTCAAGGCCAGCCTGGTCTGCAGAGTGAGTTCAAGAACAGCCAGAAAGAAGCCCCATCTCTGAGAGACAGACAGACAAACAGAAGGAGGGGACTGGATGATTGTGGGGGCTCAGACCCAACCATCAGAATAACCCTATTGATGGGTTCATAATTTGATGACATTACTATGAGGCAGTGGAATCTTTCAGAGGTAAGGTCTGATTGGAGTTAGCAGGTCACTGGGGAAATAGTCATGGGAAGTCTATCTTGTCCCTTTCTCCATCTCTTTCCTAGATGTTATGGAGTCATCAGCTTTGATCTGCCATACCCTCCTGCCATGATATTCTGCTCTTACCATGGCCAAGAAACAGTAAAGTCAGCTGACATACGCTAAAATCTCTGAAATCCTTAGCCAAATAAACCCTCCTTCTATTGGGAATGTTGTCACTGTGGTTTAAAAACAAACACATTGTCTACTGGAAAAAGATAAACATCAGCCAAAGAGATTTCAACAAAATAAATCCAAAATGACAAGTTCTGTTAGAAGAGGTACATGGGGCTGAAGAGATGGCTCAAAGGTTAAGAGGACGGACTGCTCTTCCAGAGGTCCTCAGTTCAAGTCCCAACAACCATATGGTGGCTCACAACCATCTGTGTAACAGATCTGGTGCTCTCTTCTGACTTGCATGGATACATGCAAGCAGAAATCTATAGACATAATAAATAGATGAAAACAAAAAAAAGAGGTACATGGGGCTATGAGGACTTAAAATGGGGGAAATATAAGGTAGATATAAAACAGTTGTTTGACATGAGATCTGACAGAAAACAGGCTTGCCAGTCTAAGGAACAGGAGGGGAAGATCCAGGCCTGTCTAACCTGCTCCTGTAGGATGCAAACAGACAGGATACCTATGGTTGCATCCAACAACAACAAAAGACCATAAGTTTACATAAAAGATTATGAGGGTTATGGATGTAGTTGATCAAATACTTGCTGGTATACTTAAAGACTGGGGTTTATTCTCAGTACTTAGTAAAACCTGGCATAGTGGTACATATCTGTGATTCCAGCCCAAGGGAGGCAGAGGCCAGACTATCAGAAGTTCAAAGTTATACTTGGCTACATTGTGAATATAAAGCCAGCCTGGGTTGTGTGAAACCTTGTCTGGAGAGAGACAGAATGTTTGTTTGTTTGTTTTCATAACTCAATTGTACAGTTCTCCAGCATGAGCTTTGCAGATGACAACATTGTGTTGCAATGTCAAGAAGTTGGGCACACTTGCCAGTGTAGCACAGACGAAGGCCCTGAGATGGGAAGTTGAGAAAGTGAAAGGTTAGGGTGGGTGAAGTATGGAGAACTAGGAGAAAGGTTGGGCCCTGGCCAAATAGGAGTCTTGCATTTTAACTGCTTACATGTACCCTAAGAACAACAGAAACACAAGGCTGATGGTGTATCTAAATTTTCAATAAATCACTGTGGCTAGTGTACCACTGAAGGGTAGGACAGTAGGGTGTATGTAAGGGATGGGACACCAACTACTAGATTATTTCACAAGGCCAGGCAAGAAATCTTGCTAACTCTGATTAAGATAGTGACAAGGACTTTTAGAAAAGTAGATTCTACATAGAAGTTTTTTTTCTTCTTCTGTGAATAACAGAAACCAACAGAGATATCATAATTACAATTTCCACTGAAAGTCCAGATATGGCAATGAGAAGCCAACACTGTGTTCTGTTGTAGGAGGAACCCAGACTTCTTCTGTTTGGTTCCACTATTCAGGCTCCTATTCCTCGGGTCTTTTCATGATCTAGTATGGGACCACCATCATGTCTATATCCTTGCTAGTGTGGAGGAGGAAAACTGAGAGACAACTTCCATTGAAGAAGATTCTAGGGACATACCACACATTCCACTGGCCACAAGTCAGCCTTGTGTCTCACCCAAGCTAGCTGCAAAGAAGTTTGAAAACACTACAGGCTTTACTAAGGGAAGTCACGTGCTTGGTTAAAGACTAGCATTCTAATGCTAAAAAAAAAAAAAAAAAAAAAAAAAAAAAGAGGGGGGGGGAAAAAGGGGATTGCAGGGTAAAATGGAGGTACAAGTGTTGTGCCCAAGTTCTGAACCCCAAAATCACCCAGAGGCCCATTTTGATGCAAAAGCAATGAGTCTTTTATTGCAGTTGTTTAACAAGCTAACCCCATTAGCTCTGGCCTTTCATTCATCCATCACAGCAGATGGCTGGGGAAAGACCCTGAGAAACCACGTGACAGGGATCTTATAGGACAGCATAAAGGGAGTGTCTAGGGGTACACAGTCTGAGGATTGGCATGCTTCCGGACTTGGAAGCCCTGCCCTGTGTTGATTGGTCAACTGGTTGTTATGGCCCATAGGCCCTCCCAGGGCGGTTGCTATTCTCTGCACATCACTGGTGTGCCCTTGTCTGTAAAGCACACCCAGAGCCATAAAGCATAGCCCCACTAGCTAACTTCTGATTGGTTCCTTGCCACGAGTTGGGCATCTGACCTCCTAATGACCAAGGCTTGCCCAGCAAGGTCAGGCAAGCACTCATTAGCCTGTCATGGCTGCCAAAATGGGAGGGGGGGTGAAGGGGAGGGGGCTGATCCCTTCACAAATCTGTCCTAGGCAAAGCTTATAGGATTTAATCATAGTACGTGGGTATAGAATTAAAGCAGGAATTAAGGTTCTGGGTTCTACCAGTAAAAGAATGTACCTAATTGTGCTTGGCTAATAGATTCTCTACCTTCTCCAGTTACCATTCACTTCTGTTCTTCTCTAAGCACAGACCTTAAAACCACTGGTGATGGATGCAGGTTTATGAAGCCAATTTGGGAGATCTATTCTAACAGTGTGAACACAGAATTGCAATAAGGAAATTAAGTATAAGGCCTGGCAAGTTTCCCCTCAAAAACTTAAGCTTAATTCAAATTAGAGTACTTCAAGCTTCAAACTTTCCCTACCACTGAGAATAAAAGTAGGGTGGTATGACCTTTTAGGTACTGATTCCATAGAATTTAGAGTATGTGTGGAGGATAGGGGAGTGTAAACGTTGTTGTTTTGTCCTTAAGATTTATTTATTTTGTGCTGTCAACTTTGGAAAAAAGTATCCCAGTTTACTGTGTTGAGTTGTACAAAATTAACAGCCATATTGGTCTAGAAATGTTCAACTTAATTTTTTTCCATTTGTATGGGGGTAACGCACTGTATTAAATAAGTAAGGTCTTTAAAAAAAAAAAAAAAAGAAGGGATTTTGAGACCCCATCCCTTATGAAGGGATGCTCTCTTGACCTGGACACATGGGAAGGGCCTAGGCCTGGCCCAGGATGATGTGGTAGACTTTGGGGAGCCCCTTTTGAGGGCCTTACCCTGCCTGGGAAGTGGAGCGGGCATGGCTAGAGGCAGGTGGGATTTTAGGGGGGGGAGAGGGAGAAGGGATTGACATGTGAAACAAGCTTGTTCCTAATTCGAACTAATAAAAGAATAAAATAAAAAAGAGATTTATTTATTTTATGTATATGTGTACTTTATCTGAAAGTATAAATTTATGCCAGAAGAGGGCATCAGATCCGACTATAGATGGTTTTGAGCCACCATGTGGTTGCTGGAAACTGAACTCAGGGCCTCTAGAAGAGCAGCCAGTGCTCTTAACCTCTGAGCCATCTCTCCATTTCCCTCACCCCAACCCTTTTTTTAAGATGGGGACTTATGAGGCTAGCAAGATGGCTCAATGGTTAATAGCACTGGCTGCTCTTGCAGAGGACACAGTTTCAAAACAGAATACTTTTCCTGCCTGCTTTTCTCAGCTACCCTAAGGAGTGGTGTATAGGAAATCCCACTTTTACTGTTACCAATATCTGGATTTTTAAAAATGCTAATAGAGTTTCAAAATTGTACAAGACCCTTGAAAATGTGTGGTCTTCTAGGGCTGGTGAGATAGTTCAGCGGTTAAGAGCACTGGCTGTTTTTCCAGTGATTCTGAATTCAATTCCCAGCAACCATATGATGGCTCACAGCCATCTATAATGGGATCTGATGCCCTCTTCTGCCATGCAGGTGTACACGAAGACAGAGCTCTCATATGTAAAATTAATTAATTAATTAAAGGAAAGTAGAAATAAAAAAAAAAGAAAATGTTTGGGTTTTTAATATGACTGTGCTATGGAGATCCAAAACTCTGCTTTTAGACATCAAAGTTGCTCTTTGGTTTTCTTTTCTCCTCCCTCCCTTCCTTCCATTCTTCTGTTCTTTTTTAAAAAATTATTTTATTACTTTGTGTGTATGGGTGTTTTGCCTGCTTTTACCATGTGTATGCAGTGGCCCTGGAGGCCAGAAGAATGCATTGGATCCCCGGGAGCTGGAGTTCACTGTAAGCTACCATGTGGATGGGTTGGTTCTGGAGATCCAACCAGGGCCTTCCGAGAGAGGACCGGTGCTTTTAACCACGGAGCCATCTCTCCAACCTCCATTCTTTCTTCTTTTTTGAATTTCTGATGCCACAGTTCTATAAAATTTTTGAGGATAATAGTTACTTCTGCATGACCAAGAAGAAAGTCCCAAAGGGATATAAAATATTAAAGTGTTTTTAAAATCTCTCTTTTTTTTCACAGTTGCCAACCCTTTCATCCACATAGTCTTTCTTGTACTTCATATTCTTTCCTAGAAGGACAAATTTATCTCTGTTTTGGAAGACCAATAGTAATAAAATAAAAAGGTCATAACTTTGAGTGTCATACTTTAGTTTCAGAACTCAATTTGGCAGTGACTTCAAAGAAAGTAAGAGCCCGCATAATCAACACTGATCACCATTTACTCATGCTTCAGTATATGAATTCTATTTGGAAAAGAAATGTATTCAGCAAGTTCTGGAAAGCAGACAGGGTCAGGATAGAAGCCGTGGTGCCTACGTTTGAAAAGCATAAATCTGGAAGTAAACTGTAATCTACACTCACATTTACCATTAAAATCATTGACTCTGGTTTGTCATCATTAAATTCCTGCCGTTGAGGCTTGTAGAAAATTTAAAAGGAACAAGAACCTGCGCACCGAGGTCGGGCTTATTCCGTGGTAACGAGGAAGGAGGCACATCTTTCCTTAAAAGGCAAAGGGGACGCCAGCGTACGCGTTTTGTTGAATTTTGGGCCTCGCCTCCCGCCGTCCGCCGTCACGTGCGGGCCGCAGCGGCCGCGTAGTTAGATCGGGGCGGCTGAGCCGGGTGCCAACCAAGGCAGGAAGGGAGGTGGCTGTCGAGCCATTCTTAAAGGGGCCCGAGAGATCCTACGGCAACGGGCCGCTGACGGCCGGAAGGAAAATGGTGAGTGGCGGCGGAGGGCGGCACCGCGGGCCTGGGCGGGCTCGCCGGCCCTTCCCGATTTCCATCGGCGGCCTGGAAGACCCCCCCCAGGTTGGCGTGGCCTCCGCGTGGACAGGGGTCTGGCCCTTGTGGTCCCCGCGGCGGAACCGCCTGGGCCCGAGGGGCGGCGTTGGGGAGGAGTGCTTGGGTTCCGATTGCATTCTGGCCTCGCCTAGGTTTCTTTCTACTTGCACCCCCTAGTTTCCCGCTGAATAGCTCCTGATCCCTGCATTCTTCAAGTCGAAGCCATTGGAACCCATGTGACCCGAAGCTCTCTGGTTTCGCCTTTAAGCAACTGTTAGAGATTTAGTTTTCGGGCCATGGCTTCTGTTCTCCTTGACAATGAACCCTAAGCATAAAGATGAAGTAGAGAATTAAGTCAATTGCCAGCAAGGATTTTCTGGATCCTTCCCAAAGCGCTTTTTAAATACGATCAAGTTCCATGGAAACAGTAACAGGAAAAACACTGCTGTTATCTCTAACTCCTCTCTCGGGAATCACTTCTATCTAGCTGCTAGATTCTAGCAGATCTTACCGTGGTCATTGAACCCAGGAAACTTGTGGGGTTTCACCATTACGACCCTTAAGCCACGTTCCAGGATGTTGACACTCCTGTTTGAAGCATTCCTTTATTCGTGCTTCCCCTTAGGCTTCTGGGATTCAGAACTCGTGGCTTTCCTCCTACTTCTGCTGATGCATCTGTTTCCCTTGGATTCTCGTCTCCATTTCCTGGATTGTGCCCATAAGAGCCCTAGGCTCCATCCTGAGGGTTCATTTTCTGCTGTATTTCTCTTTGCTGAATTCCTGGCTTCGGTTACCCTCTACTTTGAGTTGACTTGTGAGTTCATATCTCTGACCTTACTTCTGAGATCCAACCAGAAGGTATATTTCGGTTTGTCCAAAAAGAACCCATAGTTTCCCCCTTCACATCTGGTCTTCATTGAGCCAGAATACTGTAACTTGCTTAAAGGTGCCATTTGTATCTGTTCCACAAGCCAGAAGTCTAGAAGTTATCTTTGTAAGCCTTTATTTCCTTCATAATGAATCTAACCCAAATCCAATGTAGTGGCTAAGGGAAAGAGCTATAGCAGTTGGGCTACCTGGTTGCTTCCTGGGGCCACTACCTGTATGTCTTAGATTTGGGGGAAGATGCTTGTAGACAAGCCAAATGGGGATGGTGTTAGTGTAGATGAGATGGTTTGGAACATGAAGCAGGAATCAGCCTCATGCTACCTGCATAGTAATTTAGCTGGTTACTCCTCTGTCATGCTGATCTTCAACCTCTCAGCCACTTGTTATCTCTTCTCTGATATGGTCTTGCTGGTAACTGGTGCTTTGGTGTTCTTCCTGGCTGTCTGCCTATTGACTGCATATAACAACAAACATAATCTTATCAAAATTCAAATATGGCCATGTTTGCCTTCCCCACAATACTTAAAACATGCTGATAGTTTCTATTTACTGATGGGATAGAAATCTGAGTAACTACAGGCCATTACCTAGCGTTGTTTCTCACTCCTGTTCATTGTGGGCACCTGAGTTACACTGTCATTTCATGGTTTGGGCTGCTGTGCTCACTTTAATCACTTTAGATGGCTTTTACTGTGACCATGTGATGCTGTTCACCACACATCAGTTCTCATAGGTACCAGTTTACAAATTTTTCCTGTTTTTTTTTTTTTTTTTTTTTTTTTTTTGATGTAGGTTTCTTCTCTACTGGACTATAATGTAAGCTAGCACTTACTACAGTGTTGGTGCCCATACACCAATAAATGAATGTTTGAGCTCAACTATCTTTAATAACATTTGCCTCCTAGAATTGTTTTTATAGCTTTGTACTCATTCTTAAATGATTCCAAGTGTAAATAAGAGTAAGAGTTGGCTGAGCCTGAGTCCATTCCCTTCTCTCCCCTCCCGTTCACCCTTTCCTTTTTTTAGAAGAGACAATCAGTCCTCCTGCCTCAACCTCTAAGTGCTAGAATTACAGACATGTGCCACCACTCCTGGTTTCTGAGTCTTTGGAATTGTTGGCTTTGTTGAAGCATTGGGATTGAACACAACTGAATTACACAAATTAAGTCAAAGCATGTTTTCATCTTTTCCACCGTGCTTGGGGGTGGGGTGGGGTCACATGAGGCAAGTTCCTTACCAACAGTTTCACACTGAGCGTGTTTTCATGGGTTTTTCACCCTGTGATATCAAGCTTACACTTGTGGCTCTGATCATCAGAGCTGAAAGGTAAGGCTACTGTGACAAATTGGTTTGTTTGTGTAAATATAAATCAAAAGTTTTTATTAGTTTCATTAATTCAATCTTTGATCAAAGAAGATTGAATCTTAGTTTCAGGAACTTCCCTATGACAGCATCTCTCTAAAGAAAACTAGAAGACTGAAAATACATATCCCAGCACTAGTTATTTCCTATTGGCTAGTGCCCTTGACTGGGGTATACTTCCTGATTGATTGTGGAGTTGCACAGCCTGTGCTACATTTCACATCTTAATGATTACTAGAGTCCAGAATTTTAAGGACAGTTACAATGATAGCCATGTCCTGCTTTAGTGGATGCTGCCTTTAATCCAAAGAGGATCAAGCACCTAGGCTTCCATTACATTTTTTTTTTAAACTTAAAATTGGAAGCCTTAATGTTTTTGAGGTCCTGATGAGACAAGTCCAAATTTTTTTTGAAGGAGAAGGGGAAACTACTATATGAGAAATCCAAAGTAAGTGAACTTTTTGCAACTTGACTCAAATGAACTGGAAAAAAAAATGTAAAAAGATGAGGGATTTGAACACTAATTAGGTACTGGAGACTAGAATTCTGGAAGAGTTTTTTAAAGCAGAACAACTTCACTGTGTTTTTGTTTCTCGTGTCACATGATATCTTTCAAAAGACGGATTGTGTAATATTTCCAGGTGAATAACTTGTATGTAGCCTTTGGGTAAGACAGTCCATGGGATGTTGTTGATATACTTGTACTGTGAGCAGTGAAATGTAGATGGTAGTGATTGGAGCTGAGTGATCGATACATGGGATTTCACTGTTCTGTTCTCCACATTGGTATATTTTGGAAGGTTTTTTAATTTATGTTTTTCCATTTTTGGAGACAGGGTCTTACTCTATAGCTGCAGCTGGCCCCAACCTCAGTGAACTTTGTTTCTGCCTCTTCATCTCCAGTGCTGGGATTAAAGGCGTGTACCATCATGCCTGGCTGATTTTTCAGTTTTACCTACTAAAAATGTCATAGCATGGCATGGTGGCACACACTTGCAATACCTGTGCTGCTGGAGAGGCTAAAGCAAGGAGGATCACAAGTTTGAGCCAGAGCTTGGACAAAAAAAAAAAAAAAAAAATCCTCTGTTTTAAAATAACAAGCAAGCTTAGGGCAATGGGTGAGTATTTAAAGTGATTACTGCACAAACACAAGGATCTGAGTTTGAAACCCTGATACTAAGAAAAGCCAGGCACTGTAGCATGTGTCCATAATCTCAATGTCCATAATCAGTCCATGATCCAGCAGCCAGGTGGAAGCCAGAGGCAGGAGACTGCATAGAAGCTCACCGGCCAGCTAATGGTTACACACATTATGCAGAAGGATCCTGTTTGAAATAGTGAAAGGCTAAGACTAGCACCCAGAGTTATCCTCTGATCTCCATGTGTATACTGTGGCACATGTATGCCCAAATTTACACAAGTGTATGTTATGTACATATCATTTCCATCTATATACCCGAAGAGAAAACCAGATAACTAAACAACAACCAGTCAGATGCAATAATATTCATATCCTGTAATACTAGCATTTAGGATTCTGAGGCAAGAGGGTTGCAAGTTCAAGGCCAGCCTTAGGTACATCATGAGCTCCAGGCCAACCTGGACTACTTACCAAGACTCTCAAACAAAACAAACAAAAAGCAAAAACAAAGCAAAACAAAAATGTAAAATTGTTTCTGTCCTCTTGTTTGTGGCAATAAAGAAGAAAGCATTTGATGATTTCCTTGCCAGATTTCTGGGGAAGATCTTTATTTCTTCATAATCTCTAAGCATTTCTTTTGGCTTTTATATTTATTTCATCTACTTTTGCTTTTATACATTTTCTTTTCTTTTTCAAGGAAAACATTTGTTGAGTATGCCACAAGGGGCAGTGTGCTGGGCAGTAACCAGAAGTAGCCTATCTTTTTGTACATTCTTTTGTTTTTTTGAGGCAGGGTCTCTCTACATAGCCTTGGCTGTCCTGGAACTTGCTCTGTAGATCAAACACAGATCCACCTGCCTCTACCTGCCAAGTGCTAGGATCAAAGACATGTCCACCTCCCCTGGCATTTTGTTTTTTTTTTTTTTTTTTTTTTTTTTTTTTTTTTTTTGGAGACAGGGTTTCTCTGTGTAACAGCTCTAGCTGTCCTGGAACTTGCTTTGTATACCAGGCTGACTTCTAACTGACAGAGATCCTCCTGCCTCTACCTCCCCAGTGCTGGAATTGTGTGTGCTACCATTGCCTGGCTAAAGATTTATTTATGTATGTATTTTATATACATGAGTTCTCTATCTTTATACATACCAGAAGAGGGTATCAGATTCTTTTGCAGATGCTTGTGAGCCACCATTGTACAGAGAATTGAACTCAGGACCTCTGGAAGGGTTGCTAGTACTCTCAACTGCTGAGACATTTCTCCAGCCCCCCCCCCACACACACATTCTTATTGGCTAGTTTTGTATATTTGTAGTCAACTATTGTAGTCAACTAAGATATAAATTGCTCATTTTTACTGTTAGGTTTATTTTTATTTTCTTCGTGAAATTCTAAAACAGTAAAATGATTTTCCCATTCTTGCCACCCAGTGTGAAATACTGCTCTTGCTTATGTGACACAGGTGATAGTCCTTCACGTCCATTTCCTCCCTTCCTCTCCACTTCACATGAAATGCTTGTTAGTATGTGCTTGGTTTTTGAAATATTTATTGGCCAAAGAGAAAGTTAAAGTGAAGCTTACATTAGACATGAACAGGTATGACTAATCCATGTAGAGCCAAAGGTTGGTAGATTTGAAAGTTCTTTAACATGCACAAATATTGAAGTCATAACATTTTAAGTGTGTGTATCCCCCCCTCTCTCTTGTAGAGTGAGTCTTTGGTGGTTTGTGATGTTTCTGAAGATTTAGTGGAAAAGCTGAGAAAGTTTCGTTTTCGAAAAGAAACCCACAATGCTGCCATTATAAGTAAGCTGAAGTTGTCTCAAAACTCTATGATGTTAGTTTGTGTTCTCTTATAGCTCCTTCGAATGTGCCAAGCCCTTAGAAAGTAGCAGTTCTTCCTTCCACCTATTGTATTTGTCACTGTCACCTCTGCAAGTTAACCAACTGCTCATGCTATGGCCATAGATAGTCCCCCACCCCCTTGTCAGCTATCTACTCAACTGGGAGACGCTGACTGTCAGCGTCCTCAACTGAGGAATGAGGGTTCCCATTTGTAGTGACCCATGGATCGTGTCCTTCTCAGGGGACTAACATTTGCACACACCTAAACGATAGAGTTCGGCATTGGGCCTTATGTAATTCTACACTAAACTTTAGTTTGTGGAGAGCGCTTGTTTTCATAGCTGATATTTGGTGGGCAGTGATTTAGAAGGATGAAGGAAGGTAGAGGGTGAAGATGTAAAAGTATAGTCTTTGCATAACAGATCCATCAGGCAGGTGCATTAAATCAGGTGCTGACACCTTATCATGAGTTTTGGTTCTGTTAAAACTATATACTATCTTGTGGTCCTATGGTTCCTTTTTTCTTTTTTTTAATGGATGAGTGCTCTGTCTGCATCTATGCCTACTTGCCAGAAGAGGACATCAGATCCTATTATAGATGGTTGTGAGCCACCATGTGGTTACTGGGAATTGAACTCAGCTAGTGCTCTCCAGTCCCCTTTTGTTATTTTGTTTGTTTGTTTGTTTTTAATGGTTATATGGTTCTTAATAGGGAAAACATGTAATAGTGCCATTCACCCCAATAGATGAGGCTGTTTGAAGTCATATCCTATGTTCATAGGATTTAATGTGAATTTAATACAAACTCAAACATAGCTGATTCTTTAGACAGGTAGAAAAGAATAAAGGCATAGGTGACTTACGTTTACTCTGATTTAGGTTTGGATTATGTCAGTTATATTTGAACAGAGGTGGAATTGGTAATTCACTTTCTTGGACTAATAACCATATGCCATGAAACTGTATGTAATGTTGGAGAAGCTGGGTATCTTGGGATTCTGTCTCCTGAGCCCTGGCCAGCTTTTCTTTGGCGGTTCTAACCATGTTGCACATAGTCTCAGTCAGAGTGATCCTTCCAAGCCTCCTTTATTTAGAGAGTTGCCTGGAGTTACAAAGTTCTCCATATGTGCAGTGCATGTGAGGAGCTGATAAGATTCTAAATAAGCAGGTTCCTTGATGGGAATTATACCCCAGAATGGAAAAGCTAATACTTATGTGTGTTTATTCTGTGTTTCTTGATGTCTTAGTGTTAGGTGCTCCCTCCCTCCATATAGACTAAAGCTGCATGGGATGAGTAGTCAAGGTCACCTAGAATCACACTTCATTTATTCTGTATTTTTCTTGTAGTGAAGATTGACAAGGATAAATGCCTGGTGGTACTGGATGAGGAACTTGAGGTTTGTTCAATGAGCTAAATATCATTTTTATAGTTGAGCAATTATTGTTGTCCAAATAATGTTATATTAGTTACATGTACTAAAACAAGTTCTGGACCTCCTTAAATAAGTGCTAATTATGCATGAAAAGCATAGGCTGATTATTGGTTCCACTTGTCTTGTTGATTTAACTACGATCCACTGTGGTAAATAGAAGTTGGAGGTCTGTACCTAGTAAAGATGAGTCAACTTTATAACCAATGAGCTGTGCAGAGAGTGGTATTAAACGAAAGCCAGCCACTGAGTAGTTAGTAGAACTACTGTTTCCTCTGAAGTGCTGCTTATGTCACTCAGTCAAGCAGTATTTCCTGACAGATGGAACATAAACATAGGAACACTGTCCTTGAGATGTTTTGTTAATAGAAGTAATTTTGTGATATGGTAATGAATTCATAGCTCTTAGCAGAGTGGGTGCTTGGTAGATCTTTGGGGTAAGGACATGCTTCATGGTTTCTCTTCTCTGGTGCCAGGGCATCTCCCCAGATGAACTTAAAGATGAACTACCTGAGCGGCAACCTCGATATCCTTTTCTAAGTGATTTGGAAAGGTTTTTATTAGTCATCAGGTTTTTATTTATGAACCCATTTGTTCCAAAAGATACATATTTTATATGGCACGAAAACAGGATGGGAGGACTGTTGGAGAAGGAAGGGAACAGTGAGGGGAGATGGAGGGACCAATGTGAGCAGAGTACTAAATAAATGAATGAGACCTGTTGTTATATTATACTAAGAAGTTAAAAAAAAGGATAAAAATATATCTTAAAAGCCCCCTTTCCACATCATGACCGAAACCAAATTAAAATTCATACGTAGTAGACAAGAAGAAGGAAAGTTTACGTATTAATTGGATTTCTTTTTAAAACAATTATCTTTATTCTAATATTCACATAATAAAAACCGAGAAAGAAAAGGTCTACATTAAAGCTGTACTTTTAACAGGTTTCTTTTTGAGAGGCTGTGTGACTTTATCATTTGCCTTTGGGGTCTGTTTCATAGAACAATATCAAAAGTGTGGTGTAAATTTAATGAATCAGGCCATTCACAGCTCCAGGTGTTGATTATTGCCTGTCTTAGAGCAATGACTTTAGTTTCTTTAACTTGAGAAAAACCTTCATTGTGTATAGTTATAAATATCAACATGACGATGGAAGAGTTTCTTACCCTCTGTGCTTTATTTTCTCCAGTCCTGTTGGTAAGTCATTTTCTTTAGTAATGTGTACTTGGCTTGGATCCAGTTTGCTGTTTATAAAGATGAAATTATTGAATAGCTTATATTGAGGTCAGTTGATTATGTGTTTGTGCACACACTGTATACACTGTAGAGAACAGGTATTGTAAAGTGTCATGTCTCCGAATGTGCTTACCCCTGCTGGTTAATTCCTAGACGTGTAATTGTTGAGTTAAATGATACATTTTAATGATTCAGAAATACAATGACACCTTTTAGAATCAGAACTATATATTTTAATCTTGTTTAAGTATGTGATCTTTGTGTGACCATGGTAATATGCTATGCTTATTTTTTTTAAGTTACTAGTGATATACCTGTAATCTTAAAGATGGTCCTTGTACTATCAAATTTAAAATAGTGCTGAGTAAAGTTTTAAGTGTCAAGACTCTGAAAATCAGGATTGGCGGAGACCTAGAACCATTTCTACTGGTCTCACTTAGAGTTGTATGTCTTTGTGCAGACAGTGTACAGTGGAGGAATCACAGTGTAGCCATATACATTTAAACCAAAGGTTCTGTAAAACTGAGTAGCAAAGGAAATCCTAACAGGTCTTTGTGAAAGATAAAAGCCATGAAAACCATTACCTTTTCAAAAGCTACCCTTTGTTTTTGTGCTGATGTCTTCCAGGGTGCAAGCCTGAGCAGCAGATGATGTATGCTGGAAGTAAGAACAAGCTAGTCCAGACAGCTGAGCTAACCAAGGTAGTGTCTATGCTGGACAAGTTTCCTTTGGAGTACCAAGCAATAGTTAAGCAATGGATACAAACGTATTTTCTGTAGCTGAAGCTCTATAGACCAAATGTGGTCCATAGTAAAGCTTTGTATTAGTGGGAAAGAGAACCATAGTAATCTTTGAACCAAAATGTGTTTTTAAAATAATTTGATTAGAAAAAAATAACTTTCAAAATGTGAGCAGCTTCAGAAAAGTCATTGTAACTGTGCATGGTGGGGGTGGTACATGCTGTAAAACCAGCACTGGGGAAGCCAAGGCAGAAGGATCATGAGTTCAAGGCTACTCTGGAGCACATAATGAGATTATCTAAAAAAAAAGAACAAGAAGAAAAGAAAAGGTCATGGTAACCGCTAAGCTGTTAGGTCTTTTATACTATCTGCACCCTGATGTATTAGACCTGACATTACAATCTCCACATTACTTTTATAACTTCTGTAATCTCATTCTGCACAGGTGTTGAGATTGGCGGTCATATTTCTGTAAATAAGAAAACAGGCTAAGTAGATAATGGGAATTACCACCTCACAATCTGAGTTTGAGCCCTAGGACACACACATGGAGGGAACACAGGGAATCAACTCCCTCAGATTGCCCTCTGACCTCCATACACATATGTGCATGCCTGTGCTTGTGCACAAACACACACAAATGCAAGTGTCATTTTAAAAGTAAAAATAAAGAAAAGCAGGGTCAGAAGATGAATGACTTGCTCAGGGTTGTGTGTTAGTTGAGGCTAAGATTCAGATTTACATATGGTTCCAAATCCCATCTGTTTGCTGTAATACCTCAGCTCACTCTAGCCTTGTGCTCTCTGGACCATGAATTCAGATTCCTGCTGGAGAACTGTAACTATGGACTTTGAGTGCAGCCTTATCAAATTAGTCAACAGCTGGTGTTAACATCTGCTACTCAAGCTGGAAGATTAGCCTTATGTTTCTTCAGCTCCTAGCTAGGTTGATTTTAGATTTGTATGCCTGGCTGTCTTTTCTAGTGGACAAGGTTTTCAGAATTGCCCTTTTAGCCTGTATGTGCTTGTTTAGAATTTGTGCTTTTAAAAGAGTGTAGATTTTATGTCATCTTGATTGCTACACCTTGGTAACAAGTATTTAGCACTTAAAAGAAGTTAAATATTGCTGAAAAGGTACACCTAATGTACTTGGATTAAGTCGTGGTCATGACCAATATGTAGGAAACAGAACGTGATAGTTAATACTCAGTGCAACCTTCCTGGCGATGACGACCTCTCTATGAGAACATGCCTCTGGCAAAGTATCTCCTTCATCCCTCTCCAGAAGAGGAAAAGAGGAAACACAAGAAAAAGCACCTGGTGCAGAGCCCCAATTCCTACTTTATGGATGTGAAGTGCCCAGGATGCTATAAAATCACCATGGTCTTTAGCCATGCACAAACGGTAGTCTTGTGTTGGCTGCTCCACTGTCCTCTGTCAGCCCACAGGCAGAAAAGCAAGGCTGACAGAAGGATGCTCCTTCAGGAGGAAGCAGCACTGAAAAGCACCTGATTCAAGATGAGTGGGAACCATCCCAATAAACACATTTTGGATAAAAAAAAATAAAAAATAAAAAAATAAAATAGTGCAAGCTGGGCAGTGGGGGCCCACACCTTTAATCCCAGCACCTGGGAGGCAGAGGCAGGTGAGTGCCTCTGTGAGTGCAAGAGCTAGTTCCAGAACTAGCTCTTGACACTAAAGCACTAGAGCTACACAGAGAAATCCTGTCTCAAAAAGCCAAACCAAACCAAACCAACAAATACTCACAAATACTCAGTGCAATATAGGGATTTTTTTTTTTTTTTTTTTTTTTTTTTTGGGTGGTGGAATGTTTTTTTTTTTTTTTTTTTTTTTTTTTTGAGTGATGGAATGACTTTTTGTTTGCTCTTTCCTTCCTTAAGGTATTTGAAATAAGAAACACTGAAGACCTAACTGAAGAATGGCTACGGGAGAAACTTGGATTTTTCCACTAATGTGAACATCTGTGTTTCTAAAGTATTTATGTATTAACCTGACCATACTGGAACCAGACATAAATAGTTAATTTATGCCTAAAAATGCACTGTTACTTACAGTTTGTTTCCTGCAGTAAAGAAAACTTCTTCATTTGTGCAGTTTGAACAAAGGGGAAATCATCTTCATAGTAATGGAACTTTGTGAAGCATTTCCTTGTGTTTGTCATTATTAGGTGGACACTTTCCTCCAGGGGTGGTTTGCACCCTTGTGACTAATTTCTATAATTTATGATTCAGAATTTACTGTTTGCAGACACTGTTGAAAGGTGGGTATTAGACTGTGATAGACAACAGTTCCTCCTCTGACCACTACTGGGCGCTGCTGGCAGTTTCTAAGTGCAAATAGCATTTTATCATTTGTCACATCATCGAGGTTCATTTGGGGCTAAAGTCTTAAAGTGACCGATTTTGAGCCAAGAGTAGTGAATTAGTAGAACCTCTGTTGCACTTTCCGTAAGTTTTCATTCTCTCTTGATTTCCTGTATCTTTTTAATCAAGTATAGAAACTATATCAATCACTCATTCTTAAGGTCTAGAGGTTGGATTTTATGGCAGAGTTATGATTATTAGGGTTTCTTCTTATGGAAAATAGAATCCTAGTCTTAGAAACTGGTGAGTTATATATATAATCAAGGGCTTCGATCCTGATTATGTCACTATTAGGGAGCTTAGAATGTAGCTTGGTGACACTAAAGCACCTCCTAATGTCTTGTGAGCACTGTTTGAAATATGTCAATACTGTGCCTTTGACTTGTCAGCATTAACGTTAGCTTAAGACTTCTACACTGCCAGTATTCTAGATTTGGTGAAATTAATAATTTTTTAAAGGGTTCAAGTAAAACAATTTTCTAATATGTATAACTGAAGTTTGTAATAAAACCAACTTGTTGTTTTTAAAAATTCAACTATCTGCCCAAAGTCGTGAATATATGGTGGTAAGAGTTATAATTTGGGGTATATTTACTATTAGTTTTGTGCAGTATGTAAGCATTATTTAAAACTTTGGTCATAGTTAATAACAACACATCAATAGATGTCATACATTTTATCCTAAATGCCAGAAAAAATTCTAATATGGACAAAGCCAGTCATGTTAGATGGTGGCACCAGGGTTAGGAAGCAGGACTTATAATCTACTTAAGTGTTATTACATTACGCTTAAGAAAATATGTCAGAAACCATTGAATAGCAATATGATTTAAAGAGAAAACTAGAGATACTGTGGAGGCTGACCAAATTCTTATATTAAGAAAGTAATCATTTTGAGCTGGGCAGTGCTAGTACACATGCCTTTAATCCCAGCACTCGGGAGGCAGAGGCAAATGGATCTCTGGTCCACACAAGTTCCAGGACAGTCAGTGCTACGCACAGAAACCCTGTCTCAAAAAAACAAACAAAACAAAAAAATCATTTCAAAACTAGCAAAACTTTTTTTTAATGTGTTCATTGCATAGTATTCATCTTTTTAGGGCTCTGCCAGCTTTACTGGAGGAAAGAGTTGAACTTTCAGTGTTCCCAGCTGTACTCACTAACCTGTATGTTAGGAAGCAATCGCAAGTGCCAGAGGGGGTGTTTGCATGGGCTTGTGAATGGAAAAGTTCCGTTTCCAGAGAGTGAGAAAACTTCACCCAAGAAGTTCAAGAGTTCACTATACAGGTGTTTTGTTATGGGCTAGAGAATTGCTTGCTTATAATCCTATACAGAAAGCAAATGAGATCCAAGTAGAGAGTAACTTTAATGTTTTTGAATGAAGCAAATAAGGTTTTGTTTGTTTTACCTGGTTGCGTAAGTATACTGCTGAAAGTAGTGCTACAAGAGTGTACATTTTTAATACAGTTCTTTTTTTTTTTGGCTTGCATATTTAACTTAGTTTTGCAAATTTTAAAGTCTTCCCTGCCATACTCAGTACTCCTATGTCCAGTTCTCTAGCAGCTTTCTTTTTGAAGCTTGTCCAACCTTCCCAGTAAGTGTGCGTTTTGTAAGGCAGCACATTGGACTGGGGCATCAACAGAACCTTTCTATTCTGTCTGTCCTTAGGCAGCTTTGTAAGTCCCATGGTCCAAAGGATTCCCAAATATTTATGGAAGTTTCCCTTTAGCTAAAATTTACATTCTTTTAAAGTATTTTTATTATTCCTTTTGTACCTTTCCATAAAGAGTATGTCCAGGTTTCTTAATTCCAGCTTTTACACTCCATGTCTTTCTGGAACAACCATTCCCATTCAGCCTTAAATCTTAATCTTTCCTTTTTAGAAGCCACTCTTTCCAGGAACCTCTTTTGTTTTCTAAGTCAGCATTGGTTCGGAAATTTCTGATTTTATTTAAGTTGTGCATAGCATCTAATGTCAAAACCAACAAGAATCACAATGTGTGTTTAATACAGTTTTTGTGACTAAATAAGTGACGTATGAAGAAAGGTGTTCTCAGGTTACTGTGCTGAAATTCCAAAATGTCTGAGTTTTGAACAGTAATCACTTTGTTCTGATATTGAAGCAAATATGTTAAGAAAAAAGCTGGTTGGCTGTTTTGTTTAATTGACTTCTAAACTCTGTTTGAATTGTCTATCTGGGGAGTTATCTGGATGCCTAATGCAGCTAAACATTCTCTTGTGTGAGGAGTGTTACTACATTTTTAATCATTACTAAATAATTTGTAGCAAAATTGTGTGTGAGCATTTTGCCTCCCTTTTTGTCTCCTATTTTCAGGAGCCAAACTTAGCCATAAACTGTATCCTGGTCTGCTACTTTCACTAACAGTTTCTAGTTAGATGAGTTTATTGCCAAATTAAACTTGGCTCTTATCCCACCCAGATAGAAACTAAGGAAGATGGACAGAAGAAATGTTCAGACACTTGTAAAACTCATGTGACAACATCAATCTGTATATGAACTAGTGAATAGATATTTTCATAAGGGTTGAAATGCCAATATTTGGGAAGTAGAGAGTAGAGTATATTCTATCAGTTCTATTGGGTGTTAATATGGCTGTACTCCTTATTTGTTCTGTAGACTGATAATACTGGAATCCATAAAGTTTGAGCTTACGTGAAGAAATGTTGCAAACATTTCTGGATGAACCTTATTTTGTATTTCTGGAAGAGTATAAATATCTCTTAGGCCTCTTCATTCTGATGGTTCCAAGGCAGATGTTTCTTGTGAGGCCATTTGACATTTCAGATCAGTGATCATATTCCTGTAATGTTTAAAACAATTACATTAAGCTTGTGATAGGAACAATTTCTTGCTTTTTAGAATATAAATACTTGAATATTGTTTGAGATCACTAACATGCCAAGGCAAATCCCACTGACTTTGATGGTCCAATATAATCTCATTCAGGAGGCTTGAAACATTGGTGGTTTAGTCTTGTGAACTTTAACAGTTCTCTGTCATTCTTTAAGAAAACCAACAACTGGCATTACTCCTAAGCTGTGGTTTCAGTCTCTGCTAGTTCATACCGCATGTTTGTTTATTTTGGAGTCTTTTGGTAAGCATGGTGCTTGTACTGGTTTAAATAAAATGCTAACATGAAAGGACTTCTGGTGTTTCATTTTTACCTTCCTTCCACCATCCTTTTGTAGCTACTGATGCCTGCCTGAAAGTTTCTGTGAGCCACATGTCTATTTAGCAGTTTACTTTATTGGGGAAAACCAAATAACAATGAAAAACAGGAATCCTTGGGCAACTTGATGGAAAAAAACATGATGACATGGAACTTTTTCTTTTCTTTTCTTTTCTCTGAGATAGGGTCTCTCTGTGTAGCTTTGGAGCCTATCTTGGCACTGGAGAGCAGGCTGGCCTCGAACTCACAGAGATCCGCCTGCCTCTGCTTCCCAAGTGCTGGGACTAAAGGCGTGCTCCACCAACGCCCAGCTGACATGGAACTTTCTAAAACTAAGTCTGATGCAAAAATGATGGATATGTAAGAAATGTCAGTGAACAGCAATAGAGACAGAAACACTGATTCTAGATGATGAACCTAGCCTTGAAAGGGAAAATTGGAACTGGAGAGATGGTTCAGAGGTTAACAGCACTGTCTGTTCATCCAGAGATCCTGAGTTCAATTCCCAGAAACCCCATGGTGGTTCACAGCCTTCTATAATGAACTCTGGTGCCCCCTTCTGGCCTGCAAGCATACATGCAGGCAGGCATACTGTATACAAAATAAGTAAATGTAAAAAAGGGAGAATGAGAAGTTAGGAGGTCTGTGTGCCTCTAAGCAGTCCTGTCTGAGGTTATGTTACTGAAAATAGTGTCATTGTTTATAATCATGCATTGAAAACTCATCCTTGTTTAAGGGATTGTACTACAGAGTATATGCCATGGGTGTATAAGAATGGATAAATGCAAATCACTAATATGCTCCATGGTTTGTCATGTACTACATGTGATTAAATTGGCTAATAGTCTATTTGTTTTGGTTATGAAAGGAGTAATTAGTGCCTTCCTGACTTTTAGAATCTCAAGAGGAGAACTGGCCACAGCCAGGAAACATTTTTCTTAGTTCTCAAATTTGGTCATTTAGCTGCTCAACCATTTTTTAAAATTAATTCATCTTCACTATATATCTGCCCACCCCCAACTCCTTGGTTTTTAGCCACTAAAAGTAATCTATTAGCTCTCAGGTCCCATCATGGGCCCAGTACGAGGACATTCCCTGAGTGGACACTACATCACAGTGCAGTGTATTTTCAGCTATATCAAAGGCTAGTTAAGTGGAAGAACTTACTGATGAGCACCTTGGAGTCTGTTTCCTGTGCTAGACACCTGTCTTGGTCTGTTCTGTGATGGTGTGTCAGAACCCTTAAGGATAAGTCATTTATAAAGCACAGAGGCTTATTTTGCTGTTTTGGAGACTGTGAAGTCTAAAATGAAGGCACTGGCTCCAGAGGGCCTACTTGCTGCATCTTAACATGGCGGGAGAGAGAGAGGGTCAACACCACTCTGTTCATTCAGGAAGCTTTTGCCTGAAGGCCCTGCTTCGCTGGTGACTGCTGCTCTGGCTTGTTAAGTTTTCTGGGATTTTTGTTTTGTTTGGGGAGCATGGAAGGTTCAAGACAGGGTTTCACTGTGTATCCCTGGCTGTCCTGGAATTTTCTCTGGAGACCAGGCTGGCCTGAAACTCAGAGGTCTCCAACCTCTGCCTCCCAAGTGCTGGGATGAAAGGCGTGCGCCACCATTGCCCAGCTACATGTACGTTTTCAAAACTTGAGTTTTAGGGACCAAGTCAGATGAGAGCAGCTCTGTACTGCTTCCCCATCAGCACCCTCATGTTCTCAGCCCTCTTACACCACTACACACGCTGCTTCCAAGCCCCAGCTAACTGAACCCAGAGGCGTCGTCTTCTATGGTATTGCCCAGTGGGTAGCAAATCATGATCTAGGTCAACCATTCTTATAAATGAGACAGCTGAATTCAGTGAGAATGCTGTTAAGGGGAGAAGAAGCCATATGCAGCCCCCAGAGCAAGACAGATGCCAGCTTGGGCACCACAGAATAACGCAGCAAGCAGAATGGCTGAATCCTGTTAAGTAGGGAACTCCAAATTAAAGAGCCACATTTGGGTCTCCACTCCTAAGAGCCTCCTTTGATCCAGGGCCATCCTTCAGTCCCTTCTTCCTGAGGCCTGGTTGATCAGCCTTTTCTGAATCATCTGCTTGTCTATTAGAAAACCTCAATGTCTGAAGTCAACATGGGCAGATGTTTGCTTGTATACAGAAGTAGACAGCTCTAGGTCATCTGCCACTGTGGCCTGGATTCACACTCGTCACAGTGTTAGTATTCAGGCATCTGTACTGGCCTGTCCTTGGGATTCTGACAGGATATGCCTTCAGCTACAGCCACTAAGAGCACCCCTGTGCATATTCACTAAGTTCCCTTTGAAAAGGACCCTGCCCACCTCCCATCTCTCTCTCTCTCTCTCTCTCTCTCTCTCTCTCTCTCTCTCTCTCCTATTTGTACTACAACATGAAGCCCAGCCTACAAATTTGCCCTGTGTGTCTCAGCTTCTTTTGAGCTAAATAGTGTTCTTTAAAAAAAATTAAGCACCTTTGATCCCAGCACTTGGGAGGCAGAGGCAGGTGGATCTCTGTGAGTTCGAGGCCAGCCTGGTCTCTAGAGCGAGTGCCAGGATAGGCTCCAAAACTACACAGAGAAACCCTGTCTCGGAAAAAAAAAAAAATTAAGCAAAGGAAGAAATACTCCTCAACCAAAGAAATTCATTGTGACATTTTATATTTTTCTCTGTCTCTGAACATACATACTCTCTCATATGTAGCCCCATAGCTTCTCTGGTGACTCATTCTGAATTATGCTTGCTTTTTCCAGGTATAAGGATTCCAGCCTATTCTAATGTCAATACTTAATTTTTTTACAACTCCCTCTCTTGCCCTTCCTATTGCTGTCCCACACTAGCATGGTGCCTATTCCCTCAGTACTAGCTGTCTCTGGTCCCAATGCAACAAAGAGAAAAACCATAAAACCTTACTAGCCTGATGTAGAAGTCATTTGAAGTTGCCCTCTGAGTGCCAGTGTCAAACACCATCTCTTTCCTGTGAGGTGCTTTTGTTAGGTTCCCACCCTTCCCAGTTTGGGCTTCAGGTCTTTTGATGCAGGTTATGGCTTCCCTGGCTAGTGGTTTTGCATGTACTTGCCTTGGGCAGCTTTTGGTGGCCATCATAGTTTTTTGATGTTTGTCACCTTGCCTTTCCAGCCTCGTGTCTCGTCAGGTCCTGCTCACTTTCTCTGTCACGAGTCACCTCTCAGCTATAGACTCTGTATGTCTCTCATCTCATTTTGCCTGTTCTCCTAATCTTTTCCAGCCAGACACTGCTGTGGCTGGCTTTTCTGTTCTCAACTGTACTTAAAAGCTGTCCTTCCCGGGCCTTCCCATGCTCATCCATGTCATCATCACGTCTTGCCCTTTCACTCTTCACACTGCTTCCTTCCCTCTGATAGATATTCCCCTAATTTTTGTAACTTGTCTGATTGAGGGCTCTCAATTGAAATAGTATGAAAACTTGTTATTTTCAAAATAACAAATAACCGACTCAGACCCATTTTGATACCTTTTTTTTTAGAAAAAGTATCTATTTGTTTAACACTCCTGTGTATTTTAACTCTCACCTGGAGAACTTGGTAAGCCACAGGTTGCTGGCTCTAGCCCTGCAACTTGTAATTCAGTAGGCATAGAACTTTGGTTCTCAACTTGTGGGGCGTGACCCCTTTCAAAGGGGTCAAACAACCCTTTCACAGGGGTTGCGTATCTGATATTTACATTACAATTCATAACTAGCAACATTAAAGTTATAAAGTAGCAACAAAAATCATTTTATGGGCCAGGCAGTGTTAGCTCACACCTTTCATCCCAGCACTTGGGAAGCAGAGGTAGGCAGATCTCTGTGAGTTTGAGGCCAGCCTGGTCTACAGAGATAGCAGAGATAGTTCCAGGACAGCCAGGGCTACATTAGGAAGGTTGAGATAATTTTAGTTATAGAAGGAGGCAGGATAATTTACATTCCTAACAACTATCCAGGTGGAGGGGGCCACACCAGGGTATTCTATAAAGTTTTAATTTATTTAATTTATTCAAGGTGTGCTTGCTTGTAGTTTTATGCTCATACAAATCTCTTTTTACATTTTTGGTATAAACCAGAGGCAGGCTTGATTTTTTTTTTATAGTAATGTACAATCATGATTGGTAGTGCTATGAATATTTATATACATATGGATATTTCCCATTAAACCTGTTTTTCTTCTTTGGAAAAGAAATCTCCAAGCAAAATCTTGGTGACTTGGGGCTGGAGAGATGGCTCAGTAGTTAAAAACACTAGCTTGTCTTCCAGAGGTCCTGAGTTCAGTTACCAGCAACCCCATGGTGGCTCACAACCATCTGTAATGAGATCTGGTGCCCTCTTCTGGCCTGATGGGACACATGCAGACAGAACACTGTATAAACATAATAAATACATCTTTAAAAAAATTCTTGGTGACAATTTCAGTGGTAGATCTTTGTGTAATTTCTAGAGAGAAGCTTCTAAGCTGTGGTCTGTGTGTGATATTTTATTTATATAGATATAACAGGAAGTGTTGATAAACATGCAATGATATCCTTGCTGTGTGGTAAGCTCTACCTATTAGGAATCGCCAGAGAAACAGATTCAGCCAGAAACCCACATATGCATGCATGTACACTCTCACTCAGTACACATGCACATATACACAGTATCATCTCAGGATTCATAGGCATGCAGGCAGACATGGTGCTGGAGAGACAGCTGAGAGTTCTACATCTTTCTCAGGCAACAGGAAGTAAACTGAGACACTGGGCATGGCTTGAGTATATATGAGACCTCAAAGTCCATCCCCATAGTGACACAAGACCACACCTATTCCAACAAAAACACACCTCCTAATAGTGCTACTCTCTTATGAGTTATGGGGGCCAATTACATTCAAACTACCACAACTATAAAAACGCCCAATATAGATGAAACTTTTTCTAATTTATTTTTTAAATCTGTAGCTGTGGAATGCAT